GCAAAATTATAATTTTTGTAATAACATCCAAGACAAGCCTGCATCAAACATATCTTCACCAGCAGCAACGATGATGCCTCCAGCTCTACAAGTCTTCTCCACCTCAGAGTTTTACCACCAGAACGATCCAGCTTTGACAGAGCAAACTGGTTATGAAAACGTTCAAGGATTGAACAATTTCGCATCATATCCAAACCAAACTTTTGAACACCAAAACAACTTTTATCCATTGTCCTCAAAAATACCTTCCACAGTGAACCAAACTTTCGATTATCAAAATATCAATTTGCAAGGACAAGAAATGTTTGCGTACCAAGATAACGTTTGGAATGAACACACGCCGCCTGCGTCATCCAATTCGAATGATTTGGATCCAGAATACACTATATTTCAGGATTACGTACTGAATCCTGAAATGTACACTATATTTCAGGATTACGAATCGAATTCGACTTCGAATGCAGGTGTATTCCCAAACAATATTGACACTACAATCGCAAATTATCCTTATCCAATATATACAAATGATGATGAATACCAAAATTTTAGCCAACTCTTACGAATTTCAATGCAAAACCTAAATAATTAATGAATAATAAACATTCATTGTTAATGGTATAAAATTATATTTTTACTGTATTGTTTTTTTTAATGAATATGTGACTCACCGAACGGAAAAGAATTTTTTTTTGATAATATGTGTAAATAGGAGAAGCGACGAAAACATAATGTACTATGTTTTTATAAATTTAATATAATAAAATTATGAATTTGCTTCAAAAATTCTGTTTTTCTTTACAAATTAATTACTAAATATCTTAAGTTTTTCCATTTACATTCGTAATTAACTGTTGATTTATTCAAATCATTCTCATATAATTCAAATTCAAAAATAATTTAGTTTTGTACAGTTTGCTTTTATTTTGTTCAATTTAAATTTACCTTGTTTTGATATATTTTTTTAAATTTACAAATTACGAAAATTACAAGTTTTGGAATGAAATTTCCATAAAATTCCGCACTTTTTACTTTTGTGTACCGTGCGTAAGTTTATTTCAGGCTTGAAATGATCCCAAAGCAATCAAAATCTAGTAGCTTGGATTGCGATTGATAGGCCATTATTTGCTCGAAAACTTGTTTACGTTGCTATGGGAACGAGGTTGAACAGGTAAACAGGAAGAGGAGCAACGAAAACATAATATACTATGTTTTTTTATAAATTTAATATATCAAAATTATGAATTTGCTTCAAAAACAAAAAAATCTGTTTTTCTTTAGAAATTAATTACTAAATATCTTAAGTTTTTCCATTCACATTCGTAATTAACTGTTGATTTATTCAAATCATTCTAATCTAATTCAAATTCAAAAACAATTTTCTGTTGTACAATTTGCTTTTATTTTGTTCAATTTAAATTTACCTTGTTTTGATATATTTTTTTAAATTTACAAAATACGAAAGTTACAAGTTTTGTAATGAAATTTTCATAAAATTCCGCACTTTTTACTTTTGTATAGGTAAAGTTCGTAAGTTTATTTCAGGCTTGAGATGATCCCAAAGCAATCGAAATCTAGTAGCTTGTGATTATGAATGATATGTGGAGGTTGCTAGGATTCCGCCATTATTTGCTCGAAAACTTGTTTACGTTGCTATGGGAACGAGGTTCAGCAGGTAAACAGGAAGAGGAGCGACGAAAATATAATAAACTATGTTTTTTATAAATTTAATATATCAAAATTATTAATTTTCTTCAAAAACAAAAAATCTGTTTTTCTTTACAAATTAATTACTAATTATCTTATTTTTTCATTCAGATTCGTAATTAACTGTTGATTTATTCAAATCATTCTAATCTAATTCAAATTAAAAAATAATTTTCTGTTGTACAATTTGTTTTTATTTTGTTCAATTTAAATTTACCTTGTTTTGATATATTTTTTTAAAGTTACAAATTACGAAAGTTACAAGTTTTGGAATGAAATTTTCATAAAATTCCACACTTTTTACTTTTGTATAAGTAAAGTTCGTAAGTTTATTTCAGGCTTGAAAGGATCCCAAAGCAATCGTAATCTATTGGCTTGGATTGTGATTGACAGGTGGAGGTTGCTAGGATTCCGCCATTATTTGCTCGAAAACTTGTTTACGTTGCTATGGGAACAGGAAGAGGAGACCACTGTTTGGTAGATGCTCTGTCTCCACTTGAACCTCAAAGTCTATTAGTGTTGATATCCAAACAAAATTATCATAAACGCATTATGTAACTAAGGCTACACATTTTTTTATTTACCCAAGGGACACAAAAGTGAAATTCACCTAAGAAACATAAAACTTTATTTGTTTTTATGATTCACCTGTGTCCAAAAAATACATTACTAAAAAAAAAAAAATTTTATTTAAAAAATATAATTTTTATTCTTTGAAACTTAATCCGTATTTTGATCAAAATCAAGATCAATATTATTTCTGTAAATAAATACATATTTGTATTTTAACGCCAGTCGATTTCAGTCATTGGTTGATGTAAGAAGTAGGCGTTTTCACTTATACAACTTTTGAACCAATGCGCATAGTACACTCCCATTTCAGTTGATGCGATGGTCGTCGCTCGTGATTTCATTTGCTGCAACGTGAACCAATGCGCTTACTCTCGACGCATTGGTTCATGTTGGACCAATCCAAATGCTATTCAATTTCAATCCATTTCAGTACTTTTTGTAATGACTTAGAACATTATGAATTCTATAGGATTATCCTCTATTGCTTGATAACTTGTTTACGTTATGTCATGGAAATGGTTTAATAATGAACCAGATACTTGACAATTCCAAGCTAAGCTAATCTTAACTCTCGTTTATAATGATCAAAGTAGCAAGACAAAATTTACTATATTTGTTTGCATCCTTACTAACACTAATTATTATTAAGTATTTCTAATCATTATAATAATTAGATAATTCACTTTTTTTAAATTATGAAATAGGAACTTGATTTTTTTTTAAATCATTTATTTGAAAATATAATTATTAATCTAGTTACCATTGCAGTATAAATAATTGAAAATTAAGTTTTCAAAACATTTAAGAAATAACAATAATAAATAATTGAGATTTATAAACTTCATATATTAATATACAAAAACAATAATAGTTTGTACAGCTTTTAATGTAAATAACATAACAATTGTGCGTAAAGTTGTATAATTGTGTTACATGGACGCGGCAACCAAACCAACACATATTTTTTTATCAAAGATTTCAATGAGCTATGAAGAATGTCAATAGATTTGTAAATTATGAAGCACTTATATTTATGAAAATCTTCCAAAACTATGATGAAATATTCAATTTAGTAGTTTTGATTTAACATTGTCCTTATGCTCAATTTCCATGCTACTACCTTTTTTAATCATTTCCTTTACAATTTATGTAATCTATATTTGTATCTTGAGTAGTCACATAACAATACAACGATGATTGCAGACATATGTTTTTGATGTAAATGTGTCTACAGCGGTGTATATATGGTTGTATGAATATTTATTGTTTTCGTACAAAATACTTAGATTATTAGATAATTTAATTAATATAGATTAAGTTAAGTAGAATTCTTGAATTAACTATAAGAAGTCGTTGTGAATGTTAAAGATTTCTAATAATTTAAAGTTCCTGATGATTTGGTTGCTTTCTTTTGAAGTTTATAATATGAAGAAGACGAAGGATGTAGATTTTTAAGAGTATCATGATTGTATTTACTTGTCTTTGTTGATACATTGTTATAATATGTTTATGTAATGTTGTATTGCTGGTATTGCATACTTTGACAATGGATGGTGGTGGGTTATGCAACCATATTTGCATGGGTTTCGGTGTCATCTGGAGACCTGTCATCGCGTATATAGTGCAAGAAGCAGGCAGGGAGAGAGAAACGAATTTCTTCGGTAATATTTTTTTGTTGGGCGAAACGATTGCGTTTGGGGATGCAGTAAATTGCATATTATGGTCGTCATACGTGAGACGACTGTTCTGAAGACGTGAAGGAGCAGCAAACGTGCCGTTAGTATCGATCAAAAAACGAAAATATCGCAGGAGCAAGTGAGACGGACAGAGGACGGGACATTAGTCGGGGTAGGATAGGAAAGGATCCAGTGGTACGGCAAAAGGGGAAAGAGGAGACGGGAGGAGAAGAAAAAAAAAGAACGTACATTTCCCCACAAATAAATAGAAAATACTTAAAAACCAAACACAGAAATATACCAATATATATATATATATATACATACATACACCCAAGTTGGTAAATGTCAAAAAAAAATTAAAAAGTGAGTCAAGGTTAGTTTCGGGAAAAACGTATTTTCATCCTGCACAACTATTTTTAAAAATCCCACTTTTTCCCTTCCACAGCTGCAGTGTTGTTTAGTTGTGGTCCGAGCAGGAGCAGCTTTTGCAAGTCACCATGTCGCTGAAGCCTCGTCAGGTGGACTTCAATGCAGTGTGGGGCAGCCTCCAGGAGACTGTGAAGAGTGTCATCACCCTCGGTCACGTTCCAAGGCAGATCTGGAGTGACAGATTCTCGTGAGTCCATTGTTATTTTCACAAATAACAAACAACGTAAATGATATCTTTTGTTATTGTTTTCAAGTGATGTTTACTCCTTGTGCGTGGCTCACCCCGAGTCAATGGCTGATAGATTGTACGCAGAGACAAAGCAATATTTAATTGATCATGTTGCTTTGCTGCTGATCAAAGTCCAGGAGGACGGAGAGGATAATCTGATCAAGAACTATTACCATTATTGGTCTCAATATTCTCGCGGGCTCTTCTACCTGCATCTGCTCTATTGGTACTTGAATCAGCAGCATATCCGCATGCAAAAACCGTCAGACGCTGAGATGATTTATGGTAGTTCTGATGCTAATGCAGGTAACATAAAATATTAAAACAATGAATTAAATATGAAAAAAATATATAAATTCTATAGGAGAACAATTGGAAATAAAGGAGTTGGCATTAGAGGTGTGGAAGAATGGAATGATCACACCGCTTGGGGAAAAGCTTGTGAAATTGCTTTTGGAAACGATTGACAAAGACAGATCGGAGCACACCACTCTGATCCCAATTGAGGCAATTCAGGGAACAATCACTAGTTTTGTAGAGGTATAGTCTTCGCGCATTTAATATATAAATATTGATTTTTATTTAAATTCAATGGTTTATCTTCAACAGGTGCAGCGATTTAAGATTAAGGGAAAACTCAAGCTGTACCAGGATCTGTTTGAAGAGCCTTTTCTGGACGCCAGCGGAGAGCACTTCAAGCGGGACGCAGCTCGTCTTTTGGAGGAGCGCGATGTCAGCTTGTACATGGAGAAAGTTATAACTAAAGTGGACGAGGAATTGGCCAGGGCTAGGAAATTCCTGCACGCTAGTTCATTAACTAAAGTAATTATTGATTTTTTTTTTAAAATAATAATATTTATTGATGTGATTATTGTAAATTTTAGGTATCTCAAAGATGCGAGCAACATATGGTGGCTGAGCATTTGGATTTCTTGTACAGCGAATGCATGAATATGGTGCAAGGTGAAAGGAAAAGGGATTTATCTAACATGTATAGTCTTTTGAAGAGCTTGCCGAATGCCCTCAACATCTTAGTCGACACCGTTCTAGATCACAGCAAGTGCCAAGGATTGGAAGTGAGTGTAGCCTGGCAAAATGCCCGATCCTTATTATTTACTCACCTCTTTGTTTAGTCTATTGGCACTCTGCAAGGAGATAACATCCACGTGAACTTCGTGGAGAATCTGCTCGAGGTGTACCAGAAGTACCGACAGCAGATCCAGGAGGTCTTCAGCGGCGATCAGAACTTCATGGGTGCGTTAGACAAGGCGTGCAGTTCGGTGATCAATCATAGACCGAACAAGGGGAAGACCCCTTGCAGAAGTCCTGAGCTGCTCGCGAAATACTGTGATACGCTGCTCAAGAAGTCCAGCAAGGGGATCAGCGAGGCAGAGGTGGACGAGAAATTGCGCAAGAGCATTACGATATTCAAGTACATTGACGATAAGGACGTGTTCCAAAAGTTTTACGCTCGAATGCTGGCGAAGCGGTTAATCCATCAGCAGACTCAAAGCATGGACGCAGAGGAGGCTATGATCAATAGGTACTAATCATAGGATATTGTAATTACAAACACTTAATTCGCGGTGGTTTTCTTTTCTTCAGATTGAAGCAGGCTTGCGGGTACGAATTCACCAGCAAGTTACATAGGATGTTCACGGATATGTCGGTGAGCGCTGATCTGAACAACAAGTTCAACGCTTTCCTGAAGGATGACAGCATCGATTTAGGCGTCAACTTTTGCATATACATCCTGCAGGCGGGCGCCTGGCCTTTCGGTCAGGCCATCGTCACTCCGTTCTCGCTTCCTCAACAGCTCGTGAAGAGCGTCCAGATGGTGAGTATCTCCAGAGAATCCAAGTTTTTTTTTGTTATTAATTTTTTTCGATTGAGAGCAGTTCGAGACGTTCTACTACAACCGCTTCAACGGCCGTAAATTGACTTGGTTGCATCACCTTTGCCAAGCGGAGCTTCGCCTGGGCTACCTCAAGAAGCCCTACGTCGTTACCGTTCAAACTTTTCAAATGGCCATACTGTTACTCTTCGAGACAGCCGACTCGCTCGTCTGCAAGGAGATCAGAGAGACTTTGCTCCTGAACGCAGATCAGTTCCAAAGACACGCGATAAGCTTAGTCGATTCTAAGCTTCTGCTATGCGACTCTGAGGTATCTATTATCATATATTTTTATTAAACATTGTCGATTCATTTCTTTGTTATTTTCAGGAATTGACGCCGGAGGCTGTGCTTCGTTTGAACATGGAGTACACCAATAAGAGGACGAGGTTCAGAATAACCGCGGCCATCCAGCGTGAGTCGCCGCAAGAAGTGGAGCACACGATAAACTCGGTGGAGGAGGACAGGAAACTGTACCTGCAGGCCGCCATCGTGCGGATCATGAAGTCCCGCAAGGTCCTCAAGCATAACGCGTTGATACAAGAGGTGAGCTTTCCTTAATCTTCAGCTTGGATTCTGATCATCCATTTTCTTTCGAAGGTTTGCGCACAATCCAAGGTGTCCTTCGCGCCGAGCATCCCCATGATCAAGAAATGCATCGAGGCCCTCATCGACAGGCATTACATGGAGCGGACGCAACACTCGAGCGAAGAGTATAGCTACATAGCGTAAGAGACTGTCTCGTTAATTATCTTCATTAACTACTATTATTTCTTTCGTCTCCTTCATTGTCCAATTCGTTTTATTTCTTTTTGTATTACGTTTATTCAATTTAGACTCCCTAAAATTATGATTTACATTATTATGTTTATTGTCACTTCGACATGAAAATTACTATTATCATTATTATTTCTTTTTTATATGTATGAATATATATTTATATAATTCCCTCCCGATATTAAAAAAAAAATATAGTACATTTACTTGACGATTCTCCTTCTTCGATGTATATTTTTTTATGAATACAAATATATATATATAAAAATGTATGTGTGTCTGAGTCGACGTACGTCCTTACTCTATTACACATTTATATATATTTCTGTTGTATAACTAAGACTACTTATATAGTTGTGTAACGGTGGCGAAAAGGAGGCATACAGGAATAAAACAAAGAACAACAAAAAAAAAACTAAAGAGGAAACGCGAATGAAGACGTGAAACGAACCGAAAATATATATTATGTACATAATGTATAGACTGCAGAAAACAAACAAAAAAAAAACAACAAAATAATTAAAAGAAAACAAGATTAATATTGTTGTAAGCTGATAAATGTGAATGAGAGAATGAGGGATGATTGGATCGAAATATATATATAAATATGTGTGAGTGTGTGATGTAATAGAGTTTGCTGTTATCGATCTTCCTTCCTTCTGTTGATATGTAACATTTGAAGGATGTGCTGGGAAGTGTTGAGACTATTTGTACGTACGGATGTGAGAGAGTGAAGAAGAGGAAGAAAATGAACCGAATTGTTTGCGGTTTCTTGTATTTTTGTTTTTAGCAAAAAAAATAAAAACTGTATGAATTTATTAATTATTAAATATGTGTATGTTTTACAAAAATAATAAAGATGAACTCGTATCCATAAAGAAAAAAAAAATAAGGACTAAATAAATAAATCTATGTTTTCTTTTAATCTTATTTAACACAGTTTTTAATTCCTCCAACCATGTTTGATTAACGATTCAATAACTAAGTTTTAACAGTCGTTAAATCCTGGGAAAAAAAATCTACAGAATCTTGTGAGACAAAACTTCTTCAGAAGCAGTGTTTACTCGAAAACTATAATAGATAGAATTAATCCAATATGTACATAAGAAAGCAGAATGTTTGGGGAATCCAGCAAGTATAGATACATTCCTGTGCTCTTATCCATATTGCTGTAATACGCGTTCAAAGTTGAAAAATTGAAATTAGTACGTTCAAAAAAGCAGTGTTTTCACATTTCATTGATTTTCTCGGAAACTATAAAAGATCGAATTGATCCGAAAGATGCATATGAAAGCTGAATGTTTGGGGAATGTAGCGAGTATTCATATATTGTTGTGATTTCATCGGTTTGGCTGTAATTAGTGTTTAAAGTTGAGAAAACGTTAAAAAAAGCAGTGTTTTCACATTTCATTGATTTTCTCGGAAACTATAAAAGATAGAA